CCCCAAAACCCCAAAACCCCAAAACCCCAAAACCCCAAAACCCCAAAACCCCAAAACCCCTATGAATTTTGTTAATATTGAGGTATAAATGTTCAAAATTTAAGAATTGTTCCTCATCAACTTTTCAAACTTGAGCCCTCATAGACTCATATACTCACTGATGTTATAGCTTCACACTGACTTCCGGCTATTGGGGAAGGTGGATTCCTTTGATGTCAATCGATATCTAGATGCAGGCAACATTGCATCAGGATTATTACTTTGACCCATATCGGAGGTACCTCTTTCATAACTAGTATTTATCCTGATATCTTTGCAAATACGCTCGATGAATCCTCATGCTGCATTTACTAGAGCTTTCGCTTTTAGAAGTTTCTTCTTGGATTCTTCTTTCTCTCTTTGAGAGATTAATAAAACTCTCTCTACCTCATCGTTGATAGTTAAAATTTTAGTACTGTAGACATGAGATTTTGCTTTAAAGAAGTCTTGGGGATCGGATATCTTATTGTCTACTTCAGGTTTTTTATTATCTTGATTATGCTGTGATGTCTCAGAAACAGCACTAGAATATTTCTCCTCCTCAGAGTCTTCTCTAGAGCCTGTTTTAATAGGATCATGTTGCTTAATATAACCTTTACGTCCATTTGCAACATTCTCTTCGTCTCTCATTTGCTCTGTGGCTAATAATTTTGGTGAAAAATTTAGCACTCCAGAGCCTATTCCAGACTCCTCGCCTAGGCACTTATTCTTTTCGTATATTCTCCCAAGCACTTTTGCGTACACATCAGCCTTCTTATCTCTCCGGTCCTTCTCAAGTCCAGCCAGCCGCTGCTTCAAGAGCTTCAGCTTCTTCTGCTTTTCAATGAACTCGTGCAAGGTTTCCTGGACCATGCGGACTTCTTCGCTTGTAGAAATACCCTCGAGCTTGCGGATGTCTTCGAGGTTGCCATCAGTGTCCTTCATGCTCTGCTTGCTATCAAGTTGGGTCACTGCGATCATGTCACTGTTCATATTAGTGGCTCTTGCCGACAGAGCTGGAGAACCCAGACCTGACTTCAGGAGGTTCAGATGGTCAGGACTGAGACTGCCTGTATTACCACTATCAGTACGATTCATGGGTGTATCTTTATTTTTAACAGCTTCGACAATATCTTCAAGCATTTTGATACCAGTTCTGCGATGAATATCTTGGTTATAATTTTCTTGATAGAACATTAATTTATCATGATCTCTGACAGTTTTGTGCATATTTTGGATATTCTTTTTCTTCTTTCTCTCAGCTTTAGCTTCAATCTCCTTCTTTCTGAGTAATTCTTCATCTTTTACATAGAGTTTCACCTCTTGTTTTAATCTTTGAAAGATTTGGGAGAGGAATAAGTTCATTTCAGTACTTTTGAACATTTCTTTGTTAGTAAACTTTCGAGTTTTCTCTGGCTTCGTGACTATAATATCATTGCTAGCAGGAGTAGGAAAGTTTATGAATCTATCCTTCTCTCTAATACATGTATCAGCTGCTGTATAGACGAAGTCAAGATATCTAAGCTCGTCTTTGAGTCCTAGGATCCTCTTTGATTTAAACTTGATTGAAGTTTTCTCCCTCTGAATCATATAGTAGAGCGTCCGGGTATATTGTCCTTCCTCGCAGACTTTATCTACTCTTTCAATGTTTTGGAGGTCAAGAGCTGCTTCCTTTGCAACGAGGTCAGGGCTTACAGTGACTTTAATCTTTTCATATTTATAAATATCAGTTAGTCTATTTTAATGTTTCCTTTTTCTTCATTAACTCAAAATATTGTTTGCTATTTTCGCTTGAAGTGATCTGACTTTTGGAACTCAGCATCAACTAATTTTAAAATCCTCGGGTCTTTGAGCCATTTGAACATAGCTCCTTTGGCATATTCATTCTGTTGAACTTTTTCTCCAGATTTCTCTCTCTCTTCATCTTTTTCTTTCTCTTTTTCCTTATTTCCCTTGATCTGGGCTGCAAGGTTATCTAAATCCTACCATTGTCAGCTTCTTTTGGGCAATTTTCATTGAAGATGTCTTGTACCCGCTTATGCAACTTGGCTTCTAGAACAGTTGTAGGGAACTCTCTTGGCGTCCGAGTAGGCTTATACGGGGGAGGTTGAATTATTTCTTTGTTCTTAATGTATTTGAGGTTGTTGCGAAGGACTTTTAGGGATGTGATGTAATTTGTTGGAATTTGGCCAGTGCTGTAGGAGTCTGGCGTTGGGTGCTCGAGGAGCTTGAGACTCTTGGAGCTGGAAGCTGTGAATAACCCTAGAGAGTTTTAGAGGTGGGATGGGGAGAATAGATTTATACATTTTGAGAATTTTATAATGCATACAATGTCAATATAATCAGAAAATATCTACCACATTTTATCCCATCACACAAAATCCCCAAATTTCTCCTCAAAGCCCTCTCTGTCCTAACAAATGCCCCAAATCCCCTTTGTTCAACCCTCTTGATGACTTACTGCTGTCATTATTTCCTGACTACCTTTCTCCTAGTGGTTGGTTCCATATTTTCTAAACCCAGGGGTTAATTCCAGCCGAAGCTCAAGACTGAGCTCAGAAGGTTTATTTCAGGTTTTTGGCTTTAAAGTAGTTTATTATGGAAGATAAGCAAAGTTGGCTTGGATGAGTGGAGTAGACATATGGTATTGGTAAGCTTGAATTTTTAGAGATAAAGGTCTTGAATTTGATTTTTTGGGAGTCGTAAGTTATTAACTGTATGGCCTTGTGGAGAATAAGAATTTTTAGAAATTTTATATTCTATAGTTTACTGGCTAGAGTTTTTAAAAGGTTTATTTTAATATTGCTTATTCTTTCTACAATGGGAACAAAATTTGCATTCCAGAAATACGAAATTTTCAGAATTTAGCTGTTATGATCAATTTTTAAATCTCACTGAAAACCCCTCTTCAAACTACTAAATACCAAATCTACGTCTAATAAGCTTCCAATACACATTGAGATCCCAATTCCCCTCACAGCACCACACATCTCCCTAACCCCCCTTCTCCAACCCTCAAAACCTACTCTTTATCGAAGGGAACTTCTTAGGTTTCTCTTCATACATCTTAAACGAGCTCACGACCACTCTGGAAGATATCGAGTGTCCTCTTCTCTTATTGCCAAACCTCCGTTTGCGGTCTCCGAACCTATTGGACACTGAGGTCAGGAACACATTGTCTTTCATGTCGCTTTTGAAAGTGGAGTTCTCCATTATTTTATTTATATAATTTTATTCGTAATTTTTGGGGTTTTGGGGTTTTGGGGTTTTGGGGTTTTGGGG